CCTACCGGCACTGATCTGCTGCCGACCAGCATTGTTTTTCAATGATTTTGTAAACTTCAGAAACATAATTAACGAAATATCTTGCCCTAAATTCAAGAACTTCTAACAGTAAACGCCCTTTAAACACCGTTCACTAAGAAAATAACTGTGGAAGTACATGTTTCCATGGTTACTTTAATTGTTAATTAACTGCCTTGTGCTGGATAGGGCCAAAACATGGCCATTCGTGCTGAACAAGTGTGCACGTCTGGAGATTGATGAATTACCCAAAGCGAATTCACGGGGCTGAGCACCTGCGACAAGACCTGTTCAACTGATTGAAAGTTTAGTATTTCAGTACTGTACTGATTATAACAGAGGACAGAAAGCAAATAACATCATAGCAGATGTCAAGAAAGTTAACGATTATGATTATCAACGTCTGAATTAAAATTAAATGCAAACATAATTAATATACAAAAAAGCATCGCCTTTACTAAAACATAGGCGAACAACTCCATTCACTGAATCGCACAAGTTTGTTTGAACAAGCCAGTCGGCCATTTTCAGTAATGACATTCTTTCTGCTTTGATAACATTCCTGAATTGGCAGCGTACAAAGACTTGACCTGATTCTCTCAAGAGTATTGTGGGAACCCACTTGTGGGAACGTTTCTCATTCAATTTACTGTTACTAGGCAACTTGTAGTACTGTAATTAATGATCAAATTTCCAGGACAGACAAGGACAATCTTAAATTTCCAGGACTTTCCAGTACTGGAAAATGCTCATTTGCTTTTCCAGGACATTCAAGGAATTTAAGGACGCGTACGAACCCTGGTATGCGATACAAGGAATAAAAAAAGTTTCGCCTTAATATACAAATGTGGGTTGCCTTAAAACAGTACTGTAATTGCCAGTCAAGCATACAAACCACTGCAACTAATTAATACTCTGAATAAAGAATAGGATTGTTAAAAACAAAACAAAAGCTACATACCAAATATTCACATTCATTTATACACCCACCCATTTTTCAGCAGTCTTTATATGGTCACCTTGCACCTGCATGTCACATACTTTTCTAGACACTTTTAAGTATTCAGGTGTCTGCTCAAAAGGACTATTACAGATCTAGGGCAGATGCAAGGGATGCAATCGCACCCCCCTAAATCGTATTAAGAAAAAATAATTGTTGTATTGTATTGTTAATAGGAATTACCAGTAAGATTTTTAAGGTATGAGAGTGCATGCAATTTCCATGTCCATATTCTTAAAATTTCCTCGCCTCAGTCACATCCATGGTGGGGCTAAGGTGCTGTGGACTCTCACATACCCCCTACCACCAAATCCTGCATCCGCCCTAACAGATTCCCTTTTATAACAAGAACTATACAAGAATGGAATGGAATTCCTAAGGAACTTGCAGCAGTTTGGCACAGCGGTTTAGGTTCGGACTTTCAATTGTAAAGTCGGGGTTTCGAGTCTCCGTTGTGCAGATTTGCTTGTGTCCTTGGGCAAGGCACTTTGGCTATATTGCTTCAGTCCACCCAGCTGTATCAATGGGTACCAGCAATCTGCTGGGGACTAACCTGCGATGGACTAGTGTCCCGTCCAGGGGGAGTACAACTCTCATCCGCTTAACACTACAGAAACTGGGTATAGCCTCTAGCCCTATGAGCCCCAGTGCCTCGGAAAGGATTTAGTTTGCAACAATACAAAAAAAAAATAAAAGTTTAAGATGGCTGCAACTAAACACCTGAAAAATTAAGTCCAAAAGTGACCTGTGCTAACACTCTTTGCTCATTTTAGGGGTGTAATGATCCAGATCCAGACGTACCCCTACACACTCACCCAAGAGGCTCAAATAATAAGTATTTTTAAGAAGAACTGTTTGTGGTTAAGCCCATATAAGAATTTTTCAGGAAATTCAAACACGCCTGAAATTCACATGGACAAATTATAAAGTTAGCAAAATATATTTTTTAATCATATGTAAAAAACCAATACTAAAAATTAAAAGTATATATATTCTAAATTTGTTAAAAATATGTTCATACACTAAAAAAAGATAAAACCATTTGTAAGAGGTTTTTTTGTTATAAAAGGACCAATTTCCAACAATATAGAGATCAATATATTTTTTTTTTTGGGGGGGAGAGTGATATGGCCTAAGACCTGTCAGAACATGAACGTTGCTTGTGGGGACCAGATCAGGGAGCTCTCCCTCCTTTCCTTGTGGATGTTCAACTCAAGCCAGAGGGGGGGGGGGGGGGGGGGGGATGTGACAATACAAGCAATGGGATCCTTATCTCCTGACAACATCATTTGTGTGCATCACCTACTGTATGGTCTATGCCTATACATTTAAAATTGCATTAAAAAGTCATTATTATACCACAAACAATAAAAACAAAATTAAAGATAAAAGGAAGTAGGGGAATGCTGTTAGGCACCCATCTCAGCATTGTGTGGTAGAGTAACCTTTCCCTTCCAAGCTGCCCCTTTTTTAACCTCCCCAGTATTTCAACCAATTATACTCCTGGGCGGAAAGAGACAAATATAAGTAAAGTGCCTTGTCTAAAGATACAGGCAAAAAGACCAGCCAGGATTTGAACCCGACTTTGGGAACCAGAGATTGAGAAACTGAAACGTAACCGCTGTACCAACTGCTCCTCGATGAGTCTAATATCAAGGGGACTGCATGTTAGTAGCCCATTGTGTTAAATCAGACTTCACTTTATTCGGTTACAAAAATAGAGATATTTGGTAATGGTAGGATATTTGTAGAGGGCCTTCCACAATACAATTGTCGTCTCAAGTCGCTGGAATGTGCAGACCCCATCACAGTAAGCTGATGGCATATACCTTACTATTTTTATACACCAAGAAGATATTTTGTTTTAGTCCTCAGTGATTATAGATCAGTAGACCTATTCTATATCAACAATATAGAGAACATGACCAACAAATATATTAAGTGACTGTTTAATAATAACAACAATAACTAGCTGTCCAAAGTATTCCTGAACAGATGGCTAGGTCTTTGCTCTCTGGTCTCTCCAAAGAACTTGTATTAATATTATTTTTATTCAAATTCAGACTTACCGGACAGACAGTTCTCATATAAACTTTAGATGTCCATACAACCTCATGGAAAATAACCCAGTCTAAAGATTCTTCTTTTCCAATCAGCTAAACAAAAAAAAAAACTAAGTTTATATCTAATCAGTTACAAATAAATTTCTTTATACTCTTTGGGCTGGTGGCCTAGATGGGTTAATAAAATCGGGCATTAGATAGAAGGGGGGGGGGGGAGGTGGTAATAAATTTCTTGCGTATTGCTTTAATAGTTATACAAATAAGTTTTCTAGCAATGGGGCACAATTAAATGACCAATGCTACATGTATGCAAAAATTCATAACCAACAGGTGTTTGGAAATGCAAGTCTGACTGTTCACAAAATTTTGACAAATTAAATGATGTCAGTGTCACAGACATACGGACAAACATGCAAAAGCCATTTGCAAAGGTTCCTATTGCTTTACATCATAGGAACCAAAAGAAAAGATTATGGTTCGACTCACCACTGAAGATGGATGTATGTATACAATAGTTCCATGACCTTCCATTGTGCGGAATCCTTTCCCAGTAGGAGCTTTCCTGGCAACTTTTCCAAAGTACCCTGTGCATAATACACGTCGTAGGAACTCGCCCTTGGACCCTTTCAAGTCAGCAACCCTGGGAAAACCTTTGTCCTAAATTTATGTGTGAAATATCAAATACATAAATAAGTTAATAATGAATATTATGAAGATTCATACGTAGCAGTTTATGTATTAAATAGACAGTTTTAAAAACCATACGCTATGTTATAAATTTTATTCACACACACACACACGACACACACATATATATACACATCTACGACACATCTGACGTCAGATGAGATTTCGCTTCACTAGATGATCTGAAGTCACTAGTTGGTCCGTGGAAGGGCGCTCTGGTGAGTGAAAACAATTTGTAGCGTAGAAGTTTTTAAAAATTGTTTATTTAAGTTAATAATTATTGTTGACATATTTCTTGTTCTAATTAATGATGCATAAAATTAAATGCATATATTAATTACTTAATTATTAATGTTAACAATTTTTCTGTACTATAAATAGCATATTTATTCGAATAAATGGCCAGGGTGTTTATTGTTGAAAAGGCTTTTTGAGAGGGCATTAATATTCAAGGGAGGTGTTTATTTTTTGTGTAAAATGGATAATTATATACCTGTACTTCAATAAATGCTCCTTAATTTCAATGTAATTGTGGAACTGCAACAGTTAATTACTCTCAAAATATGCTATGGCATAGTTATAAAGACTTATTGATACGAATTAAGTAAAAAAAAAAACGTAAGAGTCAACATTAATAGAATATGTGTAGAATGATGTTTTTCATTTTGGGGGCATTTAAACAAGAGAAATAAAAAAAAAATGCCTCTGGGTGTTTATTTGAGGAAGGCTTTTATTTCAAATGAGGTTCTGGTGGGGAATTTGTTCAAGGGAGGGGGGGGAGTTTATTTGAATAAATAAGGCATATATTAAAAATGTTTACAAAAATTAATAATTAGTTGGTAATTAATGTTAACATATCTAATTAATACATAGACATTTCATTTCATTTATTTGGTCTAAAGAACAATAAAACTGACAAAGAAATAATGATGGAGAGAGAATAAATAACTCAATTGGCCGGACAGGATTGCCAAAAAGTTAACTAAATATGTAAATTACAAAATCATCTACAAAATCATTGTCAAAATGGAACTTGATAATAATAATTTTTAAATTGGTGCTATACAAATATTTGAGTAGTATTATTATAATATTAATTATAATAGAAATACAAGAAATGTTAAAATGTGCTAATTACAAGGTACAATGTGAGATATTATTTGAAAACAATTGTAGCAATTGATAATTTTTATGTGGATTTATATTTGAATAGTATGAGCTCCTGACCTTCATCTGTTTCTCTATAATTGTTTGCAGTTGTTTATGAATGCTGACAGCCATTTTGAGAGCCCTTTGATGTATATAGTTCTTTCTGCACCATCTATTTCGTGAATTGCTAAAAAAAATGATGGATGATATATTTAAACGTGAGTGAACCTAAATGTACAACTGTGATATATACGTCGCATCATGATGAAATGTGAGGTTTCTATGATAGGTGCTACGCCTATTGGATTCACCCTTTTGAAACTTCAACCAGCCTTCCAAATTAGCTATACACACCTACTGTACCTAATAAGCATATACTTATACCATACCGTACGATACACCATAGGCCTAGTAGTAGTATACATACCCACTAGGCCTACAGTAGGACTAGTTTCATTTGGCAGAAATGATGACTAGGATAGTCTAGGGCATTCAAAACTACAGAATTAGTGTTATATAGTCTTATATTGTCCCTCTTCATAATTTTTAAGGCTCCTAGATATGCCATTGCATAAATATATCCCCAGCCTACAAAATATCAGGTTGATAGACATAGAAGCCTCAAGTTTGGAGAACCTCTCGATAAGTTTACTTTAGGTTATCCTGAGGCTGTGTCTTTGTTCTATTGTATTTTATATTGCCTGAAAATAATAAATGAAATGTATTGTTGGTGAATGGCCTTGAACTACTTTCTGTAAGTAACCTTTCGGAGTATTGGTGGAAGATCGCAAGTAACGTGGCAAAATCATTCTTTCCACCTGTCATCGCGGCCAACTCATTGTGCACCTCGGTCGCTTCCTTCTGTCGTTTCTCATCACCTGTACAAAATAAATAAAATACACAAATAATCAAAAATTAAAATCTGACATCTATATGCACATACGAGGCTCAGTTGGAGTATTTTTATAAGTGTAGTTAATCTGTGTAAAATAATAATATAATGTTTACTACCATTTGGTGATGACAGGTCAAGGTCTATTATTTTGATGTGTACAAAAAATAGAGGGTTATATTTCGCAGATTCTGGTGGAAGGGGTTCAAACCATATGTTATGTGATTTGACATGACATGTATAATTGTATTTTAAAGGCCAAAACTTGGCATTATGTAATTTTTTTATCTACTTTTTATTTTACGTTTGAACAATGTTAAACACAGATTGAGAACACTGGAGTGTATTAGATTTAATTGTGTATATATTTTGAAAACCAGATAAAATTATTTGAAATTGTTTCATTATTGATGTGTGTAACATAAACTTACCTGGTCTTATGAAGACACTTTCCACTGATAACATGGCAGCAATTGGGAGAAAGATGTCCTGACAACCCATAGCACCTGAGTTGATTACTGCCCTTGCTAGGAATGGAGGCAAGGGGTAATCAACAATTAGGTGCCCAAGGTCAGTAATATGACCTTCCCTGAAATAATAATTACCTTTATTAGCAAGTGAAATAGTTTATTTTATTTAAAAAAGATTTTTATTTAATTTTTTCAAATCAATGTATATAAGGTGGTATTATGTTTCCAATCCCATCATTTGAAAAGTTATTCAGCCATCTTATTGGCACACTGTCTATTTTCTGTTAGTGTCTTCATACCATTACTGAACTCAAATCAAATATTTACTTTATTTTTACATATTTTAATTAATGGTCAAACTATATCTGCTGTTGTGCTTAAAACATGTATGTCCATCTGCACTTTTCTTTCCTTTCCTTGTACAGTACTTACTTATCTATTGCACCAAAGTAATAAAGTTCCCTTAAAGCTTCAAGTAACATTCTTTCCTCTGGAGCATCCAAATAAGGAAAACTGGAAAAAGAAAATCAACATGTCAGTGAGAATTTGTTGTGTAGAAGGATGAGTGCCAAAACAACATCAAAATATGAAACAGTATATAATATCAATGAAAAACTACAATGTGGGATGTCGTCTTCTAATCACTTAATGTGCTACGGTCAAATACAAATTTGTGGTCACAGATTACCTGGGAGTGTGTCAGTGTTAGCAATTAGGTGTGTTTAGTATACCTGAATAAATGAATACATTTTAAAACAGTATATTTGTGTGGGCAAGAAGAAATACCGGTACTATCCTGTGTGGACTTGGAGAACTACTTGTCTTGTGTGGACAGAATTGGGAAAATTACACTTCTGTGTGTGGAACTAGTAAAACTATTGTCCTATATTATGTGTGGGCTATGAAAATTACTGTTCAGTGTGTGGGTTTTCAGAATTACTGTCCCTTGTTTAGCAAAGAGAATAAACAGTACTGTCCTGTGTGGTAACAAAAATGAATCCTGTCCAGTGTAGCCAATGATAATAACTGGTATTTTCCTGTGTGGCCAAACAAAACAGCCTGTACTGTCCAAGGTTGCCAAGAAAAAAATCTATTTTGTCTGGAGCTACGGAACTGCTTCATTGTGTTGATGAGGAAAAGTGTTGTCCTGTGTGGTGGACATACTAAGTATTATTGAGCTTTGTGGAAATAACCACACTGCCCTGTATAAAAACAACAGGAGAACCATCCTGTGATTATTTTTTGCAAATATGATGTTTTGGGAAGTATACAGGCCTCCATTTTTTATAGCAATTGCAAACATTTAAAAGTATTTCTAACCTTTGCAAATACTAAAAGACATGACTAAGACTGTAAGATTTAAATAAAGACTTTTACATTCTTGTGGTGGTAACAGGCCAGAAGTTAATGGGCCAAGTGGCCTAGGGTTGCACTGTTGGATTGGTGGCAAAAGTCCAGATGGCAACAGGGCTAGAAAATACCCAAGTACAGAAATTATGAAGTACAGAATATTGCCATGTTACTTGATACTAATAGAGTAATAATAAGGCCACTGTATGTTTAAGTCCTACAGGTATGTACTTACTTAATGATGTCATGTACTCCCATGCACTTGAGGTTAAGCACAACACTGGTCAGGCTGGAACGCTGGATCTCAGCAACTGTATCTTCACTCATGCAGTTCTCAAACAATCCTCTAATTCAAAATTTACACATAAAATACTTTGAATTAGAACACATTATTACAACATTAATTTTGTTTAAATAATTAATAATAATAATAATATAAGAATTTATAAAGCTTCAATTAACGACTGGGGTGCATTATCAAAGGCGCTGTGCAAGTTAATGATGAAAAAGGTTTTAAGTGTTTTTTTTAAGGGAAGCAACAGAAGAACGTTTTTAATGTGTGCAGGGAGTGAATTCCAAAGTGTAGGTGTGGTAAAGGAAAAAGATTTATGGCCAATAGTTTACAAGGATGTGCGGGGAATGGAGAGAAAAAAATTATCAGATGACCTTAGGGTACGTCCAGGAACATAAATGTGGGTAAGCTGATAAATATAGATAGGTTGGTTAAACAGAAGTAGGAAGAGTTTGAACTTAATGCGGGAATCAATGGGAAGACAATGGAGGTCTCGGAGAACAGGGGTGATGTGAGATCGACATTTTGTGAATGTTATAATTCATGCAGCTTTTTTGAAGCCTCTGAGTCTATAAATTTGAAATTTAGGAAGTGTGTAAAAAAGAGAATTGCAGTAATCAAGATGGGATGAGACAAAAGCATGAATAATGGAAGAAGCAGCGCATCGAGAAAGAAATCGTTGGTTGAGTGCAACATTAAGAAGATAGAAGTTGACCGATTTAGTTACATAGCTGATATGGTTCTGCATGTTAAGAAATTCATCCAGTTTGACTCCGAGGATAGACATGTGGTGAGAGGGATGAATTAATGATGAATCAATGGTGAGAGAATGAGGGGTTACTTTTCAAATATTAGGTGCTTTTGCGAGCAAATGTGGAATAAATTAAATATTAATATATGAAGCAATATGGAGAAGAGGAGAGAGGGAATGCCTCAATGTGAGTGTGAGTGTTTCAAATTCACTCATTTAAAATAGAGCAAGCATTATGTATCTAGAGTATGTACCTGCCACACCATACTAAAGTGATTTTTGAATTTCCATTAACTTGACCTCTTACCTTTTCACCAGAAAATTTAATGACCTCTTCCTTAAACCAGAATCCACCGCCCAAATAAATTTTATGATGCTCTATCCATTATTTTTTGTATAAGCTTGATAATAGACAAATGGCAGTGAATATAACTTCCGTGGCGAAAGTAATAAACGTATGTTTCATCACCAAAATATTCTTAAATTAAATTAAATCCACAGATGTGAAGATTATTATAATGTACATTAATTTAAATCTTTTCATAGTGGCAGGTGTAAACTACTTTATTAACAATAATCATTATTGGTTTGCAGTGGTTTCGCAAACCAAGACATGGTTTTGCCTAATGGAAGGGTTTCGTCAATGCCTAATTTAATATTATTCTTCTTACTTTGAATAAATTCTGTAGCATTTTCCAGGTGCAGTTCTTCCTGCTCTTCCTGTCCTCTGGATTGCTTCAGATCTAAGAATTCAGCATAAAATAAAAACATCAGTTTACAAAAATAACATCCTCTTCAGCTGGCTTAACATTTTGCTAGCTCTTGCAATAAATGAGATATTTACACAAAAAAACTGAATTTGCGAGATGACATGACTTTGCCTGGGTATAAAACTATGCCCTAGTAAAGTCCTTTCATATATAATTTAAAAAGTTGTTAAATTACACCTGACCTTTTAACTAATCAAATGCATAGGATCTATGTATGTGTTATATAATATGGAATACTCTCATAGTGAGCTGATTACATGTTTAATCCAATGATTAGTGTAAACAATAAAAAGGGCATAGGGACCCTGGAATATGTACTATCAATGATTGACTACTATGATAATATTTAGTATAACAAATATTAATCACTAAACTTGTGGTACACTATGTGTAAACACAAGGTGTACCACAAGTTTTATGATTATGTTATAATACTCGCCATGCAAACCTTTAAGAAATACTTTTTTTTCAATAGGTCAATGCGACTTTCAACCAATCAGATGCCTAGGATTAATGATGTGTTCAAGGAATAATTCTAAAGAGAACTGAGTATGTGTAATTATTGGGATATTATTTAAAGATGACAACCTAGACAGTTACCGAAAGGTCCACTGATAAGATAGTATAATAGTATAGTATAATACATACTCCAAGTATTGAAATGCACGCCATCATGTCGGGATTCAATATTTCAACATTAATTATGTTATCATCACAAATAGATAGTTACCTTGAAACAGGCACAACTTGTAGAGCATCAAGACCAGTACGGGGATTGTAGGTAAGCTGCTTTACAAATCCACTATCAACAACATACCTACAAAAGGAATTAACAAACCATGTTTAATCTACATTCTGAAACTCAGGTCTGTAGTACCTACTGTTAAATTAACAGGTATAAATTTGATGTTAAATAATTCAAACTAATATGTCATTGTGTATGCTGCAATTTACCTTTGGAATCCACAAGATTCTGCACATATAAAAAGATTTTCCTCTGTTGTGTATTGCTTATCAACTACTTATTAATCATTTTCAGAAATAACAAGCAAGGTGCCATACCATCATTTAATTAGATGCTGTTGTGATAATTAAGGTATTGAGGTATAGATAATATGTATTATAAGTCAATTGTGACATCATCACTGCTACTCCCAAAGTTATTTGCCTATCCCCCACAGTCCACTAATTTTTCAATTAGTGGATGCTTGGCTTCATTTTTTTTAGGTTTGTGTGCAAAAAAAAATTTCCTAATTTTTTCATCACCGCGAAGATATCGCGCAGCGTGATAAAAATTGAATTGTAATTGAACTTTTGTAAAACAAGTTTAATTAGAACCCGAACAAAGTTACTTTAAATTCAATATTAAGTATGAACAATTGAGCAATTCCTTTAATCAATGAACCCTAATAAACCGAACAAACTGAACGTTTAATAGGAATATTCTAGACCTATTTTAAAGACTTAAGGAACGAAATTAGATGTAGGCCTACGGCCAGGCAGCAGGCCGCCGAGGCCTCCTAATACCACTAGCCTAGGCCGTATAGCTTAGTGTAATAATGAAATCATCCCAAGATTTTTACCTGTCTGCACCGACCAAAAAGTTAGTGACAGTGACTGTATTCTCTCGAATGCTTTGAAAAATGTTTATTTCTTTGACGAATGTGAAAAATTACAAACAAGTTCTATAAAAACTAACATTAAAACATGGCGATTGACTTTATAAATCAATTACTAGAGCATGCATCGTACACTAGTGGAAAATTATTATACTTAGATTTAGATGCATTCAAAAATTTCCTTCGGGCCTTCTAGTCCCTCAGGAAATTTTTTCAAGCATTAAATATAACCTTTGTATAATACTTTTCCTATAGTGTACTATGCGGGGCTCTACTAATTGCTTATTATTGGGGATGCTGTGTGGGACTTATTGTGGTACTAATAGGTATTAATGGTACTATACTGGAGTAGTAAAGTAAATCCTTGCCAAGCCACAGGGCTTATATGGGCTGGAGCTTATCCCCAGTTTTAAGTAGGATGAAATGGGTGGGAGTGTGATGCTCCCCCTGGGTGTGGGATGCTGGTCCACCACAGGTTACTCCCAGCAATTTGCTGTTACCCATTGATACAGCTGGGTAGCAGCAATGTAGATAAAGTGCCTTGCTCAAGGATTAAAAAAAGAAAATGAGGTTGGAAAACCAAACCATTTCCACTGTGCCAAAATGCCTCCACTGTACTGGGATACTGTAGGATTATTGTTATGGTACTATGGGACACTCCTATGGGCGTTATGGAGGTGCTGCCAGAGTGATTGGGGTACAACAGACATTATTTGAACAGTGGCGGCTCTAAGATATTTTTTCCGGGGAGGGGGGCTACGCTGTCCAACAGGGGGACTTGAGCTCGTAGGCCTGAGCTGGGGGGAATGGGTTTCAAAGAGGGGTTCCCCTACCAAATGGTTTTTCTTTTAAATAGCAACATCTGGATGGCTGGAAATGGCACTCTCAGACTGTGACAGATATGTGTTGGCTTGGTGTGGGCCTATTTTTATATTTTCTGTGGTCTGACTGCCTAACGAGCTCTGTCCGATCAATGGTAATCAAGGATAAAAATATTAAAATAAAATGAGTACAAAAACAACCAACTGGGGTTCATTACTGAGTTTCAGGATGTTAAAACTAAGGTAGGGCCTACTATTAGCTTATAGGAACGCTGGATACTATTCGTGTGTTGTAAGGGGTATGGCAGAGCTGTGGGACTAATAAGCAATAGTAGCACTCCGCATAGTACACTATTGGAAAATTATTATACGAAGGTTAGATTTAATGCTTGAAAAAATTTCCTGAGGGCCTGCAATTAGGCCAGAAGGATATTTTTGAATGCATTAAATCTAACCTAAGTATAATAATTTCCCTTTAGCGTATGATGCGTGCTCTACTAATTGCTTTATAAGTCAATCACCGTCTTTTAATTTTAGTTTTTGATAACCAACTAGTGTAGCAGTCATCGGTTGCTATAGTGATAAGATCAGTATACTGTGTGCGTATTTACATTTAGCTGTGCGTATGCTGATCTGTGCTCCTGAGTACATACACGTTAACTACACATCAGCAGTACATAACTGTACGGATACGATGAATAACTATTGTAATTGTGTTAGAAAGAACAAGTTTGTAATGTTATTTTAATAGACATTCGTCAAAGAAATAAACATTTCAGCATTAGAGAGAGAATACAGTCACTGACCTTTATGGTCGGTGCATGCAGACAGATAACCAGAGCCTTGCAGGCGTCAACGTTCCTATGCATGATACACGACTTTTAGAAGTATATATACGTATTCTTATACACATCTCAGCAATGTAGATAAAGTGCCTTGCTCAAGGATTAAAAAAAGAAAATGAGGTTGGAAAACCAAACCATTTCCACTGTGCCAAAATGCCTCCACTGTACTGGGATACTGTAGGATTATTGTTATGGTACTATGGGACACTCCTATGGGCGTTATGGAGGTGCTGCCAGAGTGATTGGGGTACAACAGACATTATTTGAACAGTGGCGGCTCTAAGATATTTTTTCCGGGGAGGGGGGCTACGCTGTCCAACAGGGGGACTAGAGCTCGTAGGCCTGAGCTGGGGGGAATGGGTTTCAAAGAGGGGTTCCCCTACCAAATGGTTTTTCTTTTAAATAGCAACATCTGGATGGCTGGAAATGGCACTCTCAGACTGTGACAGATATGTGTTGGCTTGGTGTGGGCCTATTTTTATATTTTCTGTGGTCTGACTGCCTAACGAGCTCTGTCCGATCAATGGTAATCAAGGATAAAAATATTAAAATAAAATGAGTACAAAAACAACCAACTGGGGTTCATTACTGAGTTTCAGGATGTTAAAACTAAGGTAGGGCCTACTATTAGCTTATAGGAACGCTGGATACTATTCGTGTGTTGTAAGGGGTATGGCAGAGCATAACAAAGAAAGCGACCCACGTGGTGCATTCTTAAATATTACACACATTATTTAATTGTATTAGACGATAATACGATATCATTGATTGAACGATCTAACTAGGCCTACCCTTGCATCGAAGGAATACTGAACTAGGCCTAGCTTAGGCCTCATGTTTTTGTGGAAAGCTAGATAGTCGTTATGTACCCGACAGTCGGCTGCCTTTATATTTTCACCTGTTTTCAGTTTGCATTCAAAGGGTACATTGCTGCACAGCCAACTGTCGGGGATAAAGTACCTTCATATGACTACTCATACGTATACAACAGAAAAAAACGTCGGATAGACTAAGTGAAAAATGGAGATCTAAATGAAGAAACGATGTATTTCAGCAAGTATTAAAACATTTTAGTTTTATTTTAGGCCTTCTTCAAAATACCTATGCCTACAGCAGATGATTTTTTTGCCGTAAAACCAAAATAGTTTCATCCATGCCGATATTCTGGTCGGTTAGCGTGAGCCCTGACTGAACTCTGCAGAAACTTCACATCGATATTCGCATCGCGATGTAAAACAAAATGTCGGAAAACTTTTCTTTGACGCATGCGCATTTGCATAAATGTCTACACACACACATACACACTACACACAATAAAAAACATAGGAAATAGCAAGAGTGATTACAATAGTTCCTATTGCATTACATGCATAGGAACTAAAAATGGTGCGATTTCATAACTAGGCTAGGCTACAGCTTAGAAAGTGGAGGTCTCACGGCCTCCTGCTTGGATGTAGGCCTTCATCCAAATCTGTTCCTGGAGTCTTTAAAATAGGTCTAGAATATTCCTATTAAACGTTCAGTTTGTTGTGTTTATGAGGGTCCATTGATTCAATGAATTCTTTTTGTTCATACTTAATACTGAATCTGAATAACTTTCTTCAGGTCCTCATTAAGCTTGTTTTACGAAAGTAATTTTTAATTACAATTCAATTTTCATCGCGGTGCACGATGTCTTCGCGGTGACGAAAAAATGAGGAATTTTTTTTTCACACGAACCTAAAAAAAATCAAGCCAAGCATCCACTAATTGAAAAATTATTGGACAGTGGGGAATAGGCAAATAACATTGGGAGTTGCAGTGATGATGTCACGATTGACTTATAATTAGTATTATTGGAGTAAAAAAAAGTCACATACCTGATTCCATCAATTGTTAAGGAGGTGCCTGCTATATTTGTGGCCACAACAACCTTTCTCACACCACGGTCAGCTGGAGAAAATATTCTACGTTGAAGATCTGCAATGGAATTAGATGAAATGGTGAAATAAAAAAAAATTTACCCAAGAAAAGGTCTAATCCAAACAGGGCTTTGGTTAAGCGGACATCTCAATCAGATTGATGAGTTTTCTAAACAATTCCCATTTTTGTCAACCACTGATTGTCTTTTTTTTACACTTAGGCCTATAGAGTACTACAGTGTTACGTCACGATACCATGTGATACTACTCCATTGCTATCACTGCAAAATGCATTCAAGGGGACGCCATTATCTCCACTGACAAACCATCGATCCAAATTTCTAATGTAATTATTAAGATGTTGTATCTTACTTTTTCTTTGTAAATTTTAATTGATGATTAAATGGTATTTGATAACTAACATAATGCAAGCTTTTGTGTTTTTAGTACATTTTGAAGGTAAAATATTTGATTTTAAAATGCCTATTCCAGAAAGCCTATATCATTCAGGCGTAATGTACGGTGTGTTGACTACAGGAAGTGCCACTTGTCTTTGTGACGACACAACTGTGGTACTCTATTGCATTTTAACTAAAGTTGCGAGATGGATGGCCAAGCGGTTAAGGCAGAACAGCTGGAACCTAAAGCTATCAGCACTGATTCGAACGGCACACTCGCCTATGGTTTTGGAACAAGTGTTCTCGGATAGGAATTATAAACCGTAGGTCCAGTGTACACAATTTGGCTCTGTACACTTAAAAGAACCCATTACATTTTTAAAGACGAGTAGGGGGTTACTTCGGTGTACTGACCCATAAAGTCGCTGTTGTGGACACACAAGAGTAGCTGATACTGGTTTACCGGGTAGCTTAGACATGAAGAGACCCTTAGGGAAGAAGCAAGTTACTGTAAGAGCTAGTTTGACTTTGAGACCGTTTTGGTATAAAGCGCAATATAAATATAACGACATTACAACTACAGTACATTACATAATACTGGTAATTTAAGTGTGAGCAGTTATGTTTGTTACTTCACCAACAGGCAACACATCGTACAAAGCAGTCAATTAAATTTTCTTATTAATAGCAAAGAGTTTTTTTGATATTTGCTCAGATAAATGAAGGCTATGTAAATACTGCAATGTATGGATATGTGAATTATCTTTAAATGTTTATTTTATTTTACTAATTTTTCTATTTTCATTTTCTGAATGCCTCTTTGCACACCTCTGTTAACCATGACTTACCAGTGGGCATTGAGCCATAAATTGGTAAAATCAGCAGAGCTTCGATATTGGGATCTTGTACATCGTGACAATACTCAATCCTTTCCGACATCTCATACAGCTGGTCACATGCATGCTCAATTTCAGCTTGGCCAGTTAAAAAAACAAGAATATCACCTAATAACTCCTCCATGTGGATCTGCATAACAACATCTACAACCTGAGACAATTGACAAGTGAATAAAAGATGACATGTTTAATCAATATAGTTTATAATATATAATCTATCTTACTTTCATTCAGTTATCAATTTTTTATCACTAAGGTCCAGTAATTCTTTTTAAAACATATATTCAGTATTTTGCCTTTTGGTCTACAGCAATATAAATGTAAACAAGTCAAGAGGTGCTGCATAAGCAAATTTTTATGCATAATTCATTTTTGATACAAAAATGAAATGCAATTGCTTTAAAATTGAGTATTAAAATTGAAACTCATAATAACAATCAAACCATTGGAAATTAACACTGCTCCACTAAAATTTATAATAGTAAATCTCATTGTTTAATATCAAAACCATTCATAACCATGATCCTTCCATCTGAACTACTCTCACAAAAAATATTCCATTCAATGAATACCTTAATATACAACATGCTCTCAGCAAAACAAAGTCAATATCAGCTGACTATGATGATTTCAATGTATTTCAATCATACACAATTTTGGTGATATTAGATTTTAACAAGTTTCAATTTTAATGAAATAGTTGCTGTTGTATTTATGCCTAAATATAATGGTTTCTACTTTTATGCGTCTGTGACCATTTTATTGGAAGAGGAGCAATGTAAATAAAACACATTATGAATTTGGGAAAAATGCTGAACAGTTTACAATTGTTTAGGAAGTTCAGATCTGCTTCAGCTTTCGTTAGTTTCTTTAGAAGTTTCTCAAACCTTCTACAATCATTTTTGCTCACATCACTATGTTGACTCCAATCTTGAATAAAGTAGCCATACGACCGAAGAGAAATCAAAATTATAACAAATTTGAAAGCAATGAACCAAGGTTTTAATGAATAGGTTTTAGACATGTTTCAACTGTATCTCACAGTCATCTTCAGTAAACTAAAAGGTATAGAATTCCACATCCGTTTATATACAATGAATTAATTAGTGGTGTGACCAATTACGCAATTAATATTGATGAACTTGGACAATGAATACAGCAGAATAGATTGAATTGAAAGAGGTGTGATATAACTGTGGTGGAAATTCATTGTAAATGGATGTGGAATTCTATACCTTTTAGTTTACTGAAGCAGATCTGAACTTCCAAAACACATTATATTATTGATAAAATTTCTTACTTACCTTCTTTACATAATTAATTGTAGTGTTACTTTTCAAATCAGTTTCTTTGACTAAATCACAGTAAATATCCTGAACAGGAAATACACGGCCTGGAATCTCGAGTACTGGACAATCACAGAGAAAATGACAAAATTTCCCTTCATCCAGCGTCGCTGACATTACGACAACCTTAAGTGGGCGCTCTCTCTTTGATTGCACAGAGTTTTTAGTTAAAAAAACTTGCTTCACTAAGCCAAATAAAATATCCTATAAACCAGAACAAAAAGAACACCAAGGGCAGATTGTCTAAGTGGTCTTTAGATGGTCTTAACGGTTAGTTGACTATTAATCGTGAAGTCACTACTGGTCTATGATTATAGACCTCTGCTATGCCGCGGTCTAACCAGTTAGCCGTCTTAAATTTTAAAGCCTACTCGGAGGAGGCTTAAAACGGTCTTAAATCATTTTCATCATGGCTATCTGCTGATTAATTCAACAGTCACGAGCAAGTTAGCTGCTATCACACTATCACGACCTGGCCACGATGGTGTCGGTCGTGTACTGATCGCAGTGTAGGTCGTGATAGTGTGAGAGTAGCTTTAGATTAGAAGAATGAATTTAGTAAGACCATCTAAGTGATAAAGCCGGTTTTATAGCCGGAGAAGGTAAGACTACCAACTGATAACATAAAAAAAAATTGAGTAAATCATATTAGTCAAGAAAAGTTGAAATGCTGTAAAGAAAAATTATGTAGATGCCTTCATTAACTGGGGGAAAGTGTAAAAATCAGGTCGGTGGCCTTTTTGATGATAGGGAGGGGATGCTAACCAATTGTTTTATTTTACATGGCCTTATTATAGTATTACACCAATTGCTTAAATACTTACTGTGCTTAAACTTCTTTCATGTGCTTCATCAAGGACAATAACACTGTATTTTCTCAGCTCCCTGTCATCTAAGAATTCTCTAAGCAGACAGCCATCTGTCATGTACTTGATCCTTGTAGCTACACAACATTTTAAAAATCATCAAATTTAACATATTAATTACACTGTGTGTTGTAAAATCTGGGGAAAAATAAATCTTATGAATCCATCCTACCGTTTATTGGCCAATTGGTGACTATTCGGTATGGATGACTGAAGGACATTTATGCACAGAAAATGTAGTGTTAAAAAACTGATCAGTTATACTGCCAGTATAGTATGGCAAAACGAAGTATGGTAAAGCACAATATGTTTTGTTGTATTCCAATATTGGTGAGTACTACTTAAGAGTTGAGATTTTTAGTTGCTAAAATCATTCTACATTTAATTACAATAAAAAATTAAGATTTCAAAAAATTAAATAATAATAATAAAAACGATATAATTTGATAAATTAATTATTATTATTCACTTATTTAAATATATTTAAAAAAAAACATCATGTTAAGAATTACATGTGGTGGTCAAGGGCCAAATTGCATGTAATTTTTCCTTTAAAATTCAACCTATAAATGCAAGAAGTAAAAAAAAAAAACAAACAAAAGAAGTAAAGAAAAAAAACAACATAAGAAAGGATAAAAGATGAGACAGTTAACATCATCTTACTTTCTGTTATAAAATCTGTTATCAACATATATTTTATGTAAATATGTTAAAGCTCCCTCTATGCTGATACATCTTATTGTAGTGTTACTCAAAGATCTTATAAACACAAGATGGCGTTCTCCGCGATTTAAGCGTAACAAATAGAAGTGTCAATTTGGCACAGAAAAGTAATCACTTTTGGAAGAGGGCGTCCTAGTCGTTGCCATGGATCTGAGACAGGGTGTTCGTGTTACGCCAACGTTTGTTACTAAGTACGTTAATTGTTCCTTAATTTTTCTAAAGGGCGCATTGTAAATCGGATGCTTCTAATTGTTACGCGTAAACGTAAAGTCACACATTGTATGCTATGGTCAAAGCAGTAAAAGTTCAAAAGTTTTCATTTTGCAAGAGGGTGCTGTACACTTCGTTATTACAGAATTGGCAGAAATCACTGAGAACGCTCTCTTGTGTTTATAAAATCTTTGGTGTAACATCATTAATATACTAAATCAATACTTTCATAGGTGTTCTTTCTGGACAACAAGACAAGCTAAAAGTCATTTCCTTTATTATTGTAATGAATGCCCATACTATGCAATCCATTTCCTATAATTAACATGAACCACCTGTTTAATTAAGTCACCAATGCTTGTATCACCATGTGATTTTTCAGTGATGATTAATTATATCATGTTATTTATATTCAGCAGTTTTCTCATTTATAAGACTTGCTAACAACCTAAATTATATACAAAATATTTATAAAGCAAATTGAAATCCAGTGTACCCTCCAATTCGATACCCCTCTCATTAAAGACCACTTTTCAAAGCTCCAAATAACAACAATTGTCAGTCTTTTAACACAAAGCTAACCCTCTACTAAGTGGAGACGGAACACAGAGAAAGTGGTCTCGAAATGAAGGACGAACTGCATGTAATTCGCCCTCATAATTTCAGACCACATTTGGGACCTGAAAATGTTATGTAGTCTGAGGCTTGGACTCCAATTAGAGGGTAGCTTTGTGTTTAAAGATTGTTTGTTAATACTTAAAGCAAGCGGTCTTAAATTAGAAGGGTCTCAAATTTAAGGCAAACTGTAGTTTTGAATCTGTTCAGGATTTGTTACTTCAAAACTGACAGAATACATCTTTAATCTAATGGTTGATAATTTTCATGATTATTGTTAACATTGAAATTAAACCCTTTACATGCAGAAAATAATTATTTCAAATAAAATTTAAAATTTTATTTTTGTCTTTAGACACCTGCTGCTGTGCATTGAATATTTAGAGAAAATTTACTGTAAATTATTTTCTTTATCTTATCCTGCATGCCATGACATCCTTTGATAAAAACATTAATTTGTTTCCTCAGAATAAATTAAATATAAGACATTTATCACTTTAATTACTGAAATGGTTTTATTACCAATTCACATTCTTTTCAATGACAATGCGATTTGATCTTGAACAAGGGCTAAAGGTGCACTCAATTACTTGGTTACCTTCAAGTACTTGCATGTTGTTTTATTTGTCGTCAAAATTAATTAATTTTCTATACTCAAGGCAGCAGTAATTTATTACTTTTAATCTGGATATTTCAAATACAATACAAACTGTTTGAGAAATGAAAATAAAGACCTTCAAAAATCAACCTGATATGCCCTTTTAAAGAGTAATATTTTCAGATACGATAACTTTTACTGTCCAACATTACACTGGAAATATGTTTTCTCTTTGACAATATGAAACACTCAGAATTCACATAAAAACAAAGTAACGATATATAAGCCACTTAAGAGCAAGAGGAACAAATGGCAAAACACTAGGGTGAAACATTTAATTCAGCTGCTTTAACTAACTAAAATGATACCTCAGGCTTTACTTCATCCTAGACCATTAACAGGTTGGTCCTTTGCAACCCTGTGGTGCATGCCATGAAAAGCCCTTCCTCTTGTGCCACTTACCTCAACTGATGCCACATGGTTTTAAAGACTACAATTTTATTATATATTTGAAACAGTCATATTTTTATATCTGTTATACCTATCATCAGTAGCTCATTCATACATAAGGGCTACTTATTTATTAGGGATAATATAATTACCATCTGACGTATGATCATCAAATCGGACCTGATAACCAACTTCTTCTCCAACTTCACATTTCATCTCGTCTGCAACCCTGTTAGCAACAGATATGGCAGCTACTCGTCTGGGCTGTGTCACACCAATTAATCCATACTTGCTGAAACCTTAAAAGTGTAAATTAATTATATAAACTGAAAAAGTAAATCTATCAATCAATAAGTTAATATATCAACTTCTAAACATTAAAGCAACAAACCTCTGTGCACTTAAAACAAGTAGAAAAAACAGATGATTTCCACAAAAATATATATATTTAAAAAAAATGAATTAATGATGATTATATTTTCATACCCTAATTCATGTGTATAGACCATTTTATCGGACTTATTTTGAAACAGCGCCACCAATGTCTCGCAACTCACTGGGGACTTTTAGCAGCCTAGCTTGAGCAGCTGGCTAGTAGCGATAGAGCACAGCGCAGCGGATAGCGCCGCTAGACCCTTGCCACAGCAGCAGTAGACAACAGCACAATCTTGCTAATTACTGAAATTACTGTATATTTAATCACTGAAATAGCTTTTTAAGACTAACCCCGGTATTCTTAAAACAAACTTTAGTCGTAGTTCGATCTAAAACTTAAAAATTAAGTCGTATTCTTAAGATGAACTTTGGCTAGCACTATGACTAAATGACGCAAATCTTGACTAAAACGATACCTCCACAGGTCGACTTTTTGAAAAAACTTGAAATATTTACCACACTAAAAATATGTTTTTTGTAACTCAAGATAAAGTGAAACGAATAAAAACGATTGTATACGCTGGTTGGATATATCTTCAAGTTAAACTTCTAAAAGAAGAAATTAAACATGTTTTGCTAGCCACATGTGATAGTTCCTGATTTGCATGAAATCCCCTCACTTTGTGGTCACGCAGCTTCACCATAACAACAACAAAGATGGAGCCGCCCTCACTCGGGCTCAAGTATAAAAGTTCTCCAAAGAAAGCAAATTTTCAGTGACTATTGACTCTATCATAATATGTTAACTACAAATAATATAATTATTATTACAGAAAATTAATTAAAGCCCCATTCCCGGCAAAATTTCAATTTTTAAGAAAAATCTAATTTTTGTATAATGTTATAAAGATTTATAAATATAATACGGAATTGCTAGTTTAACTGAATTTAGACATTCCTAAGAATGAAAAAAAAATGTAAAATAAGACTGAAATTTGATTTTTTGTGTTCCACATAAAAAATAAATGCGGATGAATTTTTCATGTTGATTTTGCGATAGGTCGTGAGAAGAAATATCGTAGGCGCCGAAAACATTAGCCTATCCAGCGCTGCTAGGC